TCTTCTAGCACTAACACCTAAGATCTATGACAGCTGAAGGCCACTGCCCCCACATGGGTATTTCCCATTTCATTGAAGATTCCTCCGACGGGCTGATTCCCAAACAGGCCTTGTAGTTTTACCATGACTAGTTTAAGCTGGTCGTGTTGAGGCTTCCTGATGCTACTGCTAAATGCCCTGCCAATCTTCTAGTCTTGGCTGTGGTTTGTGTGGTGCCTCCCTCACCTCTGTGCAATCCCTCTACTAGCTAAGATGAGAGGGAAATGAACACCTGCCTGCTATGGATAGAGCCATTTGGAGCTTCATAGGGGGACCTCAAAGGTCTCTCAGCTTCTTGTAATGATGGGTCCCTTTGAGAAGGAGAAGGAGAAGCTGTGACCAGTCCCCTCAGAGAAATAAATGTGCGCTCAAAATTCTGCAGGAGTGTGGCTGGCCTTTGAGGCCCTCGCAGACGTGCCAGGTGAAGAGCTCATCTGCCGAATCTGGGTGGCCCAATTTATCTCTGTGACAGCTCTGGTCCTCAGTTTTCCTGTCTATAAAATGAGAGAATTAGTCTAAAGCCTCTTTGAGCTATAAAAATATGATGATTCCTAATCACAAAGCTAATTCCAGAAGATCTCAAAGAAGTTGCAAATGAGGTCCATGTGTTTCAGGAATTCCTACTCTGCCTTTTGGCCAATTTGTCCTTCATGAATATTTAATGAATTAAATTCCATTAACTAAATATAGATTAATTTTCTTCCAAACTTGCTGTTTATCTTGACTAGCTTTGAACAAGCAGTAGAGTACAGATTTGAACTCGTGACTTAATACAGACGTTCTATGACAGTGACTGTGTGATTCTAACAAATTAATCCATGTCTGGGCGCCTGGGTGGCTCAGATGGTTAAGTGACTGCCTTCCGCTCAGGTCATGATCCTGGAGTTCCGGGATCGAGTCCTGCATCGGGCTCCCTGCTCAGCGGGGAGTCTGCTTCTCCCTTTCCCACTCCCCCCTCTTGTGCTCGCTCTCTCTCTCTCTCATTCTCTCTCTCAAATAAATAAATAAAATCTTTAAAAAAAATTAATCCATGTCTGTCCATGTGACATAATGCATTACTGGGAATGTTATGACCATAACTGAAAATATGTAATGTGAATGTGGCAGCATGATTAACATTAACAATGTTTGCATTTCTTTTATTGCTAGCCCTTGCATCCCTAACAGTCAAAATATTAAATCAATAGAGGATTTCTTGTTTCATTTATCTTACAATCTAAGCTATTGTTATTTATGCTTTGCTTCATACCTTAGTTTAATTTATCTGGCTTTTTGTCTTAATTTTCCTTACTTTTATCCCCTTTCTGATTCTGTTTTTCTATAGCAGATGTCCTTACTGCTTCTCCTGCTCCTAACAGTCAGGAAGGTAAAGCCATTTGAACTGGGCATTTTAACTGCATGAATGTCGGCATTCTGTGTCCAATTTCTTAGGCCTTATTAGCATGATGAAGTCATGATACTTATTACATGAGTAAAAATGTAATAAAATGATTGATCTCATTTACTTCTTGGCAGCCTGCGTGGCCCTTATTTGGTATAAGGATATTTTGGTCTAAGCATTTATGGTCTGATGAGAGCATGAACCTTGAGTGAGAAATGAGAGCTTTCTTATTTTTCATTTTAAAAGAGCATAACTGTGCTGTACCTCTAACACCTTTAAAGTCATTTTGAATAGAAATACCAAATCAAGAGCAAAGTGTAAGATTATCTGTCATGCTTTAGCTATTGTTAATGTTAATTTCTATCCTCAAGGTTTTCGCTTAATAAATTCATAAACAGTTATGAAAACTTTACTTTCCAATTAAGTAGAATCGTGAAAACTGCATTGCAAACAACAGTATCTTTTTTCCCCGGGTTTTGACATTCCTAGAGGTAAAAGAAGCTAATAGCTTCATTTTAAAGTGAGAGTGATTAACTCCTGTATGCACCACCTAGAAGTGCTTCCACCACTAAGTCCTCCCCAGACTTGTGTGCCGAGGCTTCTGACACATGTGTGTCTAAAGTAAGGTTTGCAGGGTCCTAATGATCTGTATGGACATGAGCCTTCTCATTTAGACTACGTCTGTAGGGTACCAAAACTACTGGTAAATGAGTCCATTCAATCCAAAATAAACACATCATTGACCAAATTTAACAAATTTTAAAAATTATACTCCAAGCCATCATTTTGGTAAGATGTAGCCGGAGCCTCAATCTTAACAGATAAGCATGAGTGTCTGGATATCCTTGCAATGATATAGACATAGCTCTTAAGTGAAACATCGGGTTCTCGTTTGCTGAAGCCTGCCCACTTGTTTTCAGACAACATTCTAGAAGACAGACCTGAAAATAAATCATGTAATGACAAGCTTCAGTTCGAGTATAATGAAGAAATTCCCAAGAGGATAAAGAAAGCCGATAACTCTGCTTGCAACAAAGGAAAGGTGGGTGAATGGTTTCTATTAAGTTACACTTGGGCCATGGTACTCTTGTCAATTGCGGGTAGAATTTCACTCCCTCCCTGTCCCTTTCCTTCACATTTCCCCCTCGCTTTCTCTTAGATGCCAAAGCCCACATGGTGATGCTCTGGGACACCCACCTGCCATTTGTAGAAGGTTAGTCACTGGTTCATCCAACCAATAGCTGCAGAAGGCATAGAGTGTGGCAGGCACTGAGGTGGCACGGAAGGTGGTTTAGTGATGGAGACAAATACAAATGCTTGTAGCTGAGTACAAAGACCAGTGACTACACAGTGTTATCGGAGCATCAGGGAGGACGATGTTGGAAACGAAGATATGACCAAGCAGACAAAAACAGGGCATTTAGGCCAAGAGGACAGCCTGGTACATTCAAGGAATTTCTAGAATGTTTAAAGTGTTTGGAATGACCAAGCCGATAAACAGGGCTCAGACTGTTAAGTGTTCACAGAGGAATGACACGGAGAATAGAAATCTAAATGAGATACCCAGACCCTACCTTCAAGTGCCTCACACTGAGTAGACTCTGAGCAGATCTGCAGACAAGGTTGTAGTGAGTGACATTGTTGGAGAGCCAGGTAATAAAGTATGTCAAAAACTGGAGCCATAGAGGATGAATACTCAGTCATCTCTCATTCAACAAGTATGCATTCACTGTTCCACATTTAAGACACTGGACTGTGCCCCAAGGCAAGATGAGGATGAGTTAGGCTCATCGCTGGCTCTCAGAAAATCCTGACTCTGGGAAAGGTGTTGGGACAGGTATATGGATGGATACAGAGCAATGCGAAACACACTGTGACATGAGAAAGAACAGATAAAGATCTTTGGGGATTCAGAGGTGGGTGGGCGTACGCTTCCTGTGTAAACCGGGATCATTTTTCTCTTGATAGGTTTATGACATGGAACTGGGAGAAGAATTTTATCTTCCTCAGAATAAAAAGGAAAGCAGACAGATTGCACCGGAGCTTTCTGACCTTGTCATCTATTGCCAAGCAGTAAAATTTCCAGGTAAGGGTGGGCAATACCATCTGTAACATTTAAAGATAGCAAAAGGTAAAAATGTGCTGTTGATTTAATTGGACATTGCGAATGTTTTCAAAATAACTAAATTGTGTTACCAAAGTCATTGTTACACTACCTTCTAAATATTTATTATTATTATTATTATTACTAGCTTTGATGGTCATGAGGAAAAATGCCATAAAATGTTTATTTTCCAGATGTCATGTCTTTTCATAATAGTTAATAATAATGATAATAATAATATTTATAACATCTAATAGCTAAAATTTAGTAAGCCCTTCAGTACCAGGATTTGTGCTAAGTATCTTACATACACCATGTTACTGACATCCTAATAATTCTGTGAGGTAGGTGGGTTTATCCCCATTTTTAAAGAAAATGAAATCTGAAGGAGACACACTGGTCCAAGTTTTCCTGATGTATCATCTAAGAGTCTTTTGTTTGAAAATGGTAGAAATTGACTTAAGCAAAAAGGAAATTTATTGGCTCCTGTACTGAAACATGAAGGGATACACAAGTTTCAGGTACAGCTTGATCCAGGGCTTCTCTTCCCCAGTTCTCATTCTGCCTCCTCTGGGTTGGGCCTGTTTCCTCTGTGGTAGCAAGGCGGCTGCAGCAGGCTAGCACCACATGTTTCCAGATCAGCTTCCATCTTAGAGCCTCTTCCAGAAATTTCAGCAGCAATTTCATTGTTTTCCATTGAGTCCTTTGCCCATCCCTGAACCAGTGCCTGTGACCCAGGGAATGCAGAGCTCTGACAGTCGAGGGCCAATGGCACATTCCCCATCTCTGAGCTGGGTAGTGAGGCTCCACCTGAACCACAGGGCCAAGGATGGGATTTCAGTGGGAGAGTAGGTTTCCCCAGCTTGCTATTTCTAGAAGTTCATGATGATAAACCATTCCTCCCTCCAAAAATGTGCATTTCAGTTAATACAAGGTAAACTGTGATTCTGAAGCCTGTCTATCTCCAAAGCCCTGCTCTTAACCCTTGCACGACCGTGTCCCTCTTGTTAGGGTGTGATCTCAGTGTGCTCACCCAATTGCGTGTCCCATAAATGGGGCAGCAGGGGCTGCAGGGCAAACAGGAGAGTCCATAAATATATGGAAGTCAGAAAAATTCATCTCCTTAGACTCTGAAAAAGGATCCCCTTGTGCAAAATTTCTGAGGATGGGAAAGCAGCTGGAATCAGGAGATTCATCTGAATGTTGGGAAACGGGGTATACAAACTTGGCCCAGAGAAGGGAGTTGACGTTTCAGCCCTGCACGTGAATGCAGATCCTGGCCTCCAGAGGCCTCTCTTAAGCCCCACTTCTCACACTCTGCCCTGCAAACAGGACAAGGGTATTAGGCTATTAAAAAATTAGGTAATAGTGATCTTTTCACACACATGGAAAAAATCACAGATAGAACTTCTTCAGTTTCAAGCTTTCGCCCCTAAACTGTTTTTAAACTTTTGGCAGCTACTGCTGCTTATCTGGTAGCAAATGCTGTTGAGGAAGATGTGAATTAATAAGTAGCCATCAAAGTTTTCAAAGAAATTTAAGAACTTAGCTATTTAGGTTTCGCTTCACAGATCGTGACTTTGTCACGTTAAGTATGATATGATTATACTTGCCGCTGGGGAAATCGTTCTCATGATGGGATAAAGTCCTCTTCCTGTCAAGGAGCCTCGTGGCCTGCATGTCCTTTATGACTGGAACAAGTGTGAGGACCACTGCATTCACAGATCAGTAATCACTCACATGCTCACATTCTAGTATCACTGCATCTCTTGTTCTTTATAAATTCAGCAGACACCACACCCAAACCATTCCACAGGCTTTGTCTTTTCTTCTCAAGCACGGATTAAAGAGCACAAATTCCCAAAGATATTTGAAGTCACTGTGAAAGAAAGTTTCTGTACCAAGAGAGAATTGTGGGAGAGCCAAAAGGTCACTGGGTCCAGCTTCTGACTTGAGGCACAGGCTAAGGGTTATTTGGCTTATGTTTAAAATTCCAAGAATGCTGTTTTTTAAAAGTGTTTATATAGCATATGTTCTTTATAAGTATACTACATTTAATTTGGGGTTGTTGTTGGTTTTTTTAAGTGACTGAAGTTTCTTACATTTTTCTCTCCCCAAATTTATTTCCTCTCAAAATTAACAAAACCATGCTGCCAGAATCACTGTCCTAATAGCTTCTAAATATTTGTTGTTATTATGCTTTGTCTCAATGCTCATGGGGAAAACACCATAAAATGTTTATTTTGCTACACTATCAACTTTAATTTTGCTACCTTATCAATTTCAATGCATCGCACCTTCACCATTCCGAGTCCCTTCCAAGGAGCCACATGCAAAAAAATCTTCAGAGCAGTGAGGAACCACGAAGATCATGTAGTATGACCTTCCCCAGAAGTAAATTAACTTCCCCAAGATCATGAACCTGCTTCAGCGGCAGAGCTCAACTCCTCAGTGGCCTTGACTGGGACAGTTACATAACTTCTCTGCACTTCCAAATTCCTTATCTGTAAAAAAAAAAAAAGGCATATTATGTCCTAACTTGCAGGGTAGTTGTAAAAATTAGCAATAAAGTATATAATGTGATTAGCAAGCTATCCAGAAAAGAATTGGGGCTCTCTGGGAGTGGTTGTTGTTATTGTCATTGGTAAATGGGCCAACAGGGCAGAAGAAGGCCCTTTGTTGCTCTCTCAGTTACTTCTGTGGGCCTCCCTGGATTCTTTCCCTTTTCTTGATCACCCAGCCCTTGTTTTCTTGCGTCCTCACCCCAAGGGAATGACCAGGCTCTTCACAAAAGGGCCCACATACCCTTTGACGCATGCCAGGATGTGTGCAAAAACCCCAGAGTGAACAGGCCCCTCACTCTAGGCCCTTGGGAGAAAACCTACTATTACATCATTATGCACAGAGCAAAATTCACACAAAATTTTAAGATAAAGCATGAGAACCTCCTAGTCCAAGTGTGTGCGTCTTTGTGGTTACAGATACTTAAAAGGAAAAAAAAAAATTTAGAAGCCCCACAGCTGCTATGAACTGAGCACTTTCTCTGAGCAAGACACTCTACTGAGCATGTATATATACATGATCTCATTCAACCCTAAGCACGACCCTTTTATAGGATGAGGGAGTGATGCAGAGAGGTTAAATTATTTATGTGAGGTCCCACCACTAGGAATAGTGTGTAAACCCCAGTGTCTGTGCTCTTACTAAGCACCGCCTTATCCTGTCTTCTCTGCTGATGTCCTTGAAAGGTGTATTTTTATCTCAAAGAGGACCTCCTGGGGCGCCTGGGTGGCTCAGTCGTTAAGCGTCTGCCTTCGGCTCAGGTCATGATCCCAGGGTCCTGGGATCGAGCCCCACATCGGGCTCCCTGCTCAGCAAGGAGCCTGCTTCTCCCTCTCTCACTCCCCCTGCTTGTGTTCCCGCTCTCGCTGTGTCTCCCTCTGTCAAATAAATAAATAAAATCTTTAAAAAAAAAAAAAAAAAGAGGACCTCCTGCATGCTGCTTCGGCTGAAGGAGTGACTTTCTAGTGGTACCGTTGTACACAGTGGAAGGGCAGCTCTGGCTTCATCAGTGCTTTTAAATGACTCTCCCTGCACTGGAGCCAGGTCTGCATTCATTTCCTCATTCAGCAAAAGTCTGTGAAGTTACCACTGCACACCAGGCACTGTGCCAGGCGGAAGGGCCAGGCAGTGGTCGGACTAGGAGTAAACTCGCAAGAGAAGCCATGAACCATCAGGATCGTCATCACGTCTTTCCCACCAAGCCCTCAGACTAACCCTGTGAGCGAGTTCCTATCCTCACACCCATTTCGTGGATAAGGACACTGAGGAACAGAAAAGGTAGATGTTAAGCCCACCTCCTACTTGCAGGAACTGAACCCAGACAGTGTGACGCTGAAGCTCAGGGTTTGACCCATTATTTTATCGCTCCGAGTTGAGTAATTAGGTTCTGATAATTAAATATTGACTGGGGCGCTTTCTTTTCCTGCAGTTTTTCAAAATCTTTCTGGGGCACAGTCAAGTGGGTGTGTGTGTGATTTTGCGATCATCTTGCGGTTCTTGTCACATTTGCCTCCAGAGAGAGAGAAGCTTTGCTATCATTGCCTGCAATGCTATTATTAACTGCGCTAAAAATGCTAGTAGGTCTTCTGGCCCGGGGCTGCAAGGGAGTAGTAGGACTTCAAAATAAACAGTAACAGGGATGGAAAATGTTGAGTTCCCTTGCTTGTAGTTTTTGGCTTATTTATTTTCATTTTATGGGAACAGGCCTGTCAACTCTAAATGCATCTGGCTCTAGCAGAGGAAAAGAAAGGAAAAGCAGGAAGTCCATTTTTGGCAACAATCCGGGCAGAATGAGCCCTGGGGAGACAGCATCGTTTAACAAAGCATCTGGAAAAAGTAAAGTCACCTTCTTCCAATATTTTGGCCCAGTTCTGCATGCTGGATGATTCCAATACTTGACCATCTAAGCACTTCCCTTGAACTTTTAATTTCTTTTTTCATGTTCATGAATATTTATGTTATCTACGTGTGGTACCAATATCCTTAAAATTACAAATCTACACTTTCAACTTCCTAAGAAGTTTTCACTGAAGACGTCCTGACAGTGTTTGCCTCAAAAGTAAAAATTGCAGACACCTTGGAACATTCTGGTGTTCTTGGAACTCTTCATCCTTATAACTCCAGAAGATGTATCCGTTTTATTTCTGATTACTTTTTATCATAAAAGTAATAAATTCTCATAGTTAAAAACTCAGACATTTCAGAGTATTATTAAAATTCCTTTCCACTCTCTATGTCCCAGTTCTGTTCCCCAGAGGTAACCACTGTTAGGTTTATTGTGTTTTGTTCAAGAAAAATAAGATTCTTTTTAAGATAATCCAAACAGAATATAACAACATACTTGGGTAACTTTTTTTTCTTGAGGTTAAATTTGTATATAACATTATATTAGTTTCAGGTGTACAACATAGTAATTCGATCTTTGTATGCACTACAATAAATCTAGTTAGTTCTCATCCATCACCATATACCTGACCTCCTTCACCCATTTCACCTATCCCACCTCCCTCCCCCTTTGATAACCACCGATCGGTTCTCTGTATCCAGGAGATTTGTTTGGTTTTATGTGTTTGTTTTGTTTTTTATATTTCATATATGAGTGAAATGATATGGTATTTGTCTTTTTCTGACTTATTTCACTTAACATTACACCCTCACAATCCATCCGTGTTGTTACAAATGGCAGGATCTCCTGCATTTTTATGGCTAAGTAGTATTCCACTGTGTGTATATATACCATGTCTTCCTTATCCATTCATCCTTCACTGGATACTTAGGTTGTTTCCATATCTTGGCTGTTGTGAATAATGTTGCAGTGAACATTGGGATGCATGTATCTTTTTAGAATTGGTGTTTTTATTTTCTTTTGATAAATATCCAGAAGTGGTATAGCTGGATCATATAGTAGTTCTATCTTTAATTTTTTGAGGAAATTCCATACTGTTTTCTGCAGTGGCTGCACCAGTTTGTATTCCCACCAACAGTGTTTGAAATTTCCCTTTTCTCCACATCCTCTCCCACACTTGTTATTTCTTGTCTTTTTGATAATAGCCATTCTAACAGGTGATATCTTGTTGTGGTTTTGGTTTGCATTTCCCTGGTGATTATTGATGTTCTTCTTCTCGTGTGCCTGTTGGCCATCTGTATGTCTTCTTTGGGAAAAGGTCTGCTTAAATCCTCTGCTCATTTTTTAATCAAATAGTTTTTTTGTTCCTGAGCTATTTGAGTTCTTTATACACTTTGGATATTAACCCCTTATTGGATATATGATTTGCAAATATTTTCTCCCATTCAGTAGATTGCCTTTTCTTTTTATTGATGATTTCCTTTATTATGCAGAAGCATTCCAGTCTGCTGTAGTCCCACTTGTTTATTTCTCCTTTTGTTACCTTTAATTTTGGAGTCAGATCCAAAAATTCAACACCAAGACTAATGTCGGGAAGCTTATTGCCTTTGTTTTCTTCTAAGAGTTGTGTGGTTTCAGGTCTTACATGCAAGTCTTTAAACAATTTCAAGTTAATTTTTTGTGTATGGTGTAAGATAATGGTCTAGTTTCATTCTTTTGCATGTGGATATCCCGCTTTCCCAACACCCTTTATTGATGAGATGATCCTTTCCCTGTTGTGTATCCTTGGCTCCACTGTCACAAATTAATTGACCATATATATGTGGGTTTATTTCTGGGCTCTCTATTCTGTTTCATTGATCTATGTGTCTGTTTTTATGCCAGTACCATATTGTTTTGATTACTATAACTTTTTAGTATAGTTTAAAATCAGGGAGACTTGTGGTTAAGCATCTGACTTCAGCTCAGGTCATGATCTCAGGGTCCTGGGATCAAGTCCTGCTTAGGGCTCCATGCTCAGCAGGGAGTTTGCGAGTTTGCTTCTCCCTCTCCCTCTGCCCCTGCCCCTCTCATGCTCTCTCTCTCTCTCTCAAATAAATAAATAAATAAATAAATAAATTCTTTTTAAAAGTTAAAAAAAAAAATCAGGGAGACTTGTATAAATTTATACTTGCTATAACTTTCTTCCTAGCTTTCTATACATATCTACCTTATTCTCATTAATGCCCCTGTGGCATTCCATTGTGTGGGTAGACTTATTTATTTAACTGCTTCCTCGCTGGTAGGACATTTAGGTTGCTTCCTGGGTGGTGGTGGTGGTGGTTTTGGAGTTTTTGCTTTTGGGGTTTTGTTTTGTTTTGTTATTTTAAAGAGAAAAAAACAATGCTAGAGTGAACACCCTTGGGCATGTGTGGTTGTGTATTTGTGTAAATTTATTCATAGAATAGATGAGATGTGGAGGCAGAGGACTTTCGGGCTTTTGATTTAAATTAGTGTTGTTACACTCATCTTAAAACACACTAGCCATCATTTTGTTTCAAGGTAGTGGACTAACTCACAAGGAACAGGCAAGATGTATTCTGATGTGTTACATGTTATGATTGCCTACTGGGATGTTGTTCAGGTTTATCTTTCTAAAATATTTAAAGTTTTCTGCACTAATCTGAGGCTAATCTTTTGGGGGGTTTAGGTTCCTGTGAAGGAATGCGACAGGCCTGGGAGGAATCTTCTTCCCCCCTCAACCCAACCACATCCCTCAGCGCTATCATTAGGACTCCCAAATGTTACCATATCTCATCGCTGAATGAAAATGCCGCCAAACGTCTGTGTCGCAGGTATTCTCAGAAACTGATCCAGCACACCGCCTGTCAGCTGCTGAGGACTTACCCGGCTGCCACCCGCATCGACTCCTCCAATCCCAACCCCCTCATGTTCTGGCTCCATGGGATACAGTTCGTGGCGCTCAACTACCAGACAGATGGTAATGGGCCTGCTTCACCCAGAAGGGTGCCTCCCCGCTGCTCCCCTCTGCGTCTTATATTTCAGCAAATGTAGTGCAACAAACGAGGTTGTTGAAGGGGGCCAGATTCCACACGGGGCACACCATATGTGACGGGTAAAGTACAGAGGACTGAATTTGATATGGAATTGTGCCCTGGATGTTTCGGTTAAGGCAATAGATAAGAACCATGAAGGGGCCCCTAATTGTCTCCTGTTCCCTGTCCCCTTTTTAAAGCATTTTTTAAACATACAACTGCACTTGATAGGGCTGTGTCCAGTTTGTTTTTAAAGATCTTTGGGGTAGAGATTTCCTAATACCCCTTAGTAAGTTCTCTTGCTAAGCTCTTGTTCTTGCCGTCAAAAAGTAGTGTTGCTCCGAACACTTGGCACACTAAAAACATTTTAGCTTCTTGTCTTCCCTTTGAGATTGAGCTAGAGAATGGTTGTTGCTCTGGAAGGGGCTAACACACAAAAAAAACAAGTACGTGACCTACATGAACAGAGAGAGTAGTGCGTGTGTTTCTCCACTGTGGATGAGACTCTAACAGGGGAACTGAGGAGACCTAAAACTCCAGGTAAGAGCTATGGTTTACGGCAGGCTCACCGGGCAACAGGCACTGTGCTGAATTCTTGACCCCTCTCCCTATTATCTCATTTAATCTACAAGGTAGATACCTTTATGATCCCCATTTCTCAGATGAGCAAACCAAGGCACAGAGTGGTTAATTTGCTGCACGTTATAGAACGACTTATAATAATAGTTTCAAGGACCCTGTGAGTTTAGAGGATAAAGTGTTTTGTTTCCACTTGATTATGGGAGTTGGGGGGGGAGGAGGGAGTTACAGAACATGAAGAAAGAATAAAAGAGAAGTGTTTCCTAGAAGCTCATTCAAAAACCAGAGTCTTTCCTTTGAACAGTGGAGCGGCCTCCCCATGCCTCTCACGTGAACTGAATCAGATCCTCGCTAACCATGCTGACCCATCAGCACAGCCCTGTCTCCAGCCAAGGTCAAACCACAGTATTGGTCCTGGGACCACCTGGCAGCCTGGCACTGGCACCAACACGGTCCATTCGTGGCTGACCTCACAGACGTATGGTCACAGATATCAGTCCTATTTTTTGCCCTTTAATATTTGTTTCTTTCAATTGATATTAAATAAGTCAACGCAAGTGAAGTACCATACTTAACATAGTGCTTGGCACATAGAAAGCATTCCACAAACATTAACTATCGTCAGTGTTTTTTGATAAGTTATGAAAACAGTATGATTTGGACTCACAAGTGGAAATAGTAATGAAATATTTTCAAAGTTGTAAAAATTTCTTTTCAATCTGTCCCAAGTGGCTTGTGGGTTCACATCTCTGGCCCCGTACTTAGCCCTGTGTCCACTGGTCCCCTTGGTTATTATGATACTGAAATATTTTAAGTAAACTGAAATAACTAGAAAAAATCTTTTTCTCAAGGAAATGGAAATGCGTTTGGTTTTGGATGTGTCCTTTCTCCTGAAGTGCCCAGTCTGCTGCAGACATACCGGCTCCACCAATGGCAGGGGGAGCCCCAGCTGAAGGGGACACAGGAACGGCCCCTCCTTGAGCCACGCTGCAGTCTGAAACACACGCTGAGGCTGACGCGTGGCCTCCACTCACCCGGGAAGGCTTCTCCTCTGTCCCAAGTCAAGCCAGAGGGCATGTTGGAGCTTCCCCACTCAGAGGAGGCAGATGGCAGTGTTGTGCAGTTCATCCTCAAGTTTCTCTGCAAAACCTTCCAACTCCCAGGAGGGAGTACCGCCATATATCCTCTCTTGATTCCAATATGGCAAGCAATGATAAACTTCTCCCCACACTGGACAGAGCACAAGCTACATGCAGTCTCCGTGTGTTCATCTGTAAAAATAGTCTTCATTTCTCCAAACTGGGGGTAGAGCCAGAGCAAGACCTTGCACACAATAGGTGCTCAATAAATGCATGCTGCACTGAGCTGAAACAGATTGTCTCTATCAGCCCCACTGCAGTCTGAACCTGTGGTTCGTGAGTTTTGGTCCAGATCTCTTCTAGGTACTTCTCTGTGAATGCAAGTCCAAATTAAGAGTCAACATTGGAATAATTATTTTTTAATTTTTGAAAAGAATTTCTAGGTTAGGGAGTGCTTGATTTTCCATGAAATGTCCCAACCAAATAACCAGACCCCCCTCCCGGTGTCCCTCTAGTCTCCAGATATGTTCTATGGATCATCTACCTTACCACTTCCTGAATTTCAGGGAACCCTGATGCCCCAAAGGGGTGTCCATAGACTAAGGCTGATCTCTTCCCAGGATCTCTAATGGCTCCATCAACTCCTGGAAGGTCTGCAGTTATCTAGAACCAGGAGTATCCCACGTCTCCTAAGTAAAACCAGCTCTTGAGTTGGGAAACTCACCTGAGCTTGGCATGCAGACAGACCCTGGCTGTTGCTGGCAACAGTCCTGCAAAGCTCTTTCCATCCGGGGCAGAACAATTTTTGCCTCATGTCTTAGGACCTACAAGTATATATAGACCTTCAGCCCTAATCTGAAGACAAGCTTCTGTTAATATTTATTATGCTTTCTTGAATGATTGTCACACTCTTTATGATGACTTTCCCAGCCCCCAAATATAGGGATAAGTATTATGAGAATGGTGTCTACTTAATGTGGAGTTTTTAAAAGAACGAAAGACTTTAAAGGTGATGCTATGCTTGATACGCCATCACATGCATCAACTGAGAGGGATGATGGTGTTACACAGATTCCTACATGCTCTGTCCAATTGGTTGGAACCAGGATTTTAAAACTATAGCCCTAGATGAAGTTCTGGGACCAGCCGTAGGACCGTAGGACGACTGGACTCGAGGTCCCACTTTTATTCCAACTGAGCAGCTCCACGTGGATCTGTTTTACATGGTGGATCACCAAATGAAAGTTAAGAAAAAGTGCTTTCAGATTTTGGAATGCTACAATGATGACACATTGCTAAGCATTCAGACTTCAAACCCAAATGGGTGTTGACATCATAGTCCTACTTAATGGCTACTGTTTATCGAGCACCTTCTATGTGCCACATTCCGGGGGAGGGACTTTCACACATCACCTCATTTGTCTTTATGATACCCCTGTGAGCTTCAGCAGTTCAGACTCGGTAGTTAATATACATTACCTGGTTCAGTAGTTAAGCTGGGTCAGGCTGTCTGGGTGTGAATGCCAACATCCACCACTCATTAGCCACGTGCCTTGAGTTTGTTCATTTCTTGTGCCTTGATGTCCTTATCTATAAAAATGAAAATATTAACAGGACCTACCCCATGGGTTATGGAGGCACTGATGCATACACTGCTTGGCATTGGGGGCTGGTGCCCGGGAAGGGCGCAGTGAGTGGGAGTTGCTAAAACTTCATTAGGAACGTTTCTCCATTTCATGTTTACCAGCGGCGTGGGCTAGTTTGCTTCCCTCTGTAGCCTCGATGAATCAGTCACATGGGGACCAGATGGGCCTGAGAGGTGGGGTCTAGTGTGCTAATTTTGTAGATAAGGAGGCCGAGTCCCCTGGAGCTCTCACGTGTCTAAGACATCTTCCCCCCCCCTCAAATTCTGGCACATGGCCGCAGCCAACTCCACGTACATGGAGAAATGTGACACACAAGATGAGTGAAGGCCAACTTCTCCTTGCTCCATGGTGCTGACCACACTCTTCCTTGATGTTGGTCCATGTAGCAAAGTTCACTCTGCCCATGGGAGGAATCTATCTAAGGGAACATTTGTCAGATGTTTCTCGTAAACTATTTGCTCATTTGGGCCACTTTTATACAGACTTGCGCCATTGGATGATCATTTGAGTGTGGAAGAGTCCAAAAATAGTGCAGGGGTCCAATCATTCATCAGAGAATGGTGCCAAATAAAATTTGGCCCCCAAATACTGGAAGCTGTTGTGAGAGTTCCAGGCATTGAGGATTGAGGGGATTGTGGACATGATGTGAATCACATGTGATGATTTTGTTTTCATATGGAATTACAATTATTTAACAAAGAGGTAGAAGTATTATGATTTATGGGTTGAAATTGAGATTTCAAAGACAAGGTGTGTTTTTCTGGCTCTTCTCCTAGCCTTTTTTTTTTTTCATTTAAAACAAATGTTTCTTTTTTTTTTTTTTAACATAATGTATTATTTGTTTCAGAGGTACAGGTCTGTGATTCATCAGTCTTACACAATTCACAGCACTCACCATAGCACATACCCTCTTGTATTCCTAAGATTTCATCTTCTATTTGAAAAAGCCACAATTGCTCATACAACTGTCTGCAATGGTTGGTGCATGGGGATACGAAAATGCCATTACCCTTTCTAAAATTCAGTATAAAATGAGGTATTTCCAGGATTTTTCCGGATGGATATTGTGAATTTTTATTTGCAAGAGTTTTTAAGTAGCAGAACGTGGGATGGAGCGTGAGCTCTGCGAAGGCAGATTCCTCGTCTTGTCACCAGCTGTGTCTCAGGTGCAGTAGGCACTCAGTCTATGCCGTGAATGCATGGTCATCTCTTCTTCATGCTTCAGCTTGGGGAAAATGGATCCAAAGTTCTTTTGAGCTTAAAAGTAAATGTGTAAGATGACACGTGAGCCACCAAGTAACAAGCAATATTGACTTTATTTTGCAGATCTCCCCTTGCATTTAAATGCTGCCATGTTTGAGGCCAACGGTGGCTGTGGTTATGTTCTGAAACCCCCAGTTCTGTGGGACAAGAACTGTCCCATGTATCAGAAGTTTTCGCCCTTGGAAAGAGACCTGGACAACATGGAGCCTGCCGTCTATTCCTTAACTGTAAGCATGGCCTCTGTTTTCAGATTATAGTAGGATCTGTAAGCCTTCCTGAATATGAACTGGTCTTGAATTCAAGGTATTACAAAGGTCTCATGTCACAGTCTTGTTCATGCAGATTTAGTTCCCAAAGGCATGTCTTTACCTCTCAGAAAGCAGTGGCTATGGTTTAGGTACGCTGTCACCAGGCCCTGTATCTGCCAGAGCCCAGTCAGTGGATTTATGAGGTCCCTGCTTCAGCTGTGTATTGATGATGGTAATTCTGTCCTCCAGCCCCCGAGCATTATAACTGTGAGTGGATCCCATAAACATTGAGCTCCTGGTTAGAGCAGATCATCTTAAACTCTGACAAGTTCTTAAAAGATCAGACAGGCCTCAATATACAAATCAATTAAATATCTTTTCTCTTTGCAGCTTAACCTATATCATTCCCGGGCCTCTACTTATTCCGTTTATTACCTAATTAACTGATCAGAACTTCACAGGCTGCCTCTAACAGCTGAGCCCCAGTAGCTCATCACCCAGATTTATTCCCTGTTCTTTCACTCCCACTTAGTTGATAGAGGGAAAAAAACCACTGGATGGTGATAGAAAAGGCAGAGAGGGACGAAGTTATCTCTTCTCTCCAAGTTCACATCCTGTTTGTCTGGCTGCAAAGGAAGACTGCCGGACAGCCTGGGCTCACAACACCTCAGAGGCGGGGGGATCCCATCAATGTGTCCCCCCCCAAACTGCTTTCTTCTGGGCCCAAGACAAGGGCAGCCACCCCTTTCCGTCTGACCATTTCAGCTGGACTCACGTAGAGTTCCATCTACTTACAGAAGGCTGTGGATTGATTTTTAACATTCCCTGAGACTTGCGCCAAAACCCACTCTTCAAGAAAAAGATTTGGGGGGGCACCTGGGTGGCTCAGTCGTCAAGCGTCTGCCTTCGGCTCAGGTCATGATCCCAGTGTCCTGGGATCGAGCCCCGCATCGGACTCCCTGCTCGGTGGGAAGCCTGCTCTCCCTCTCCCACTCCCCCTGCTTGTGTTCCCTCTCTTGCTGCGTCTCTCTCTGTCAAATAAATAAAATCTTTAAAAAAAAAAAAAAAAGAAAAGAAAAAGATTTGGGGTATATCAAATATATCCACCGAAAACCTTTTGAACAGAATGTTAGGAACCAATGCTCGGTTACATTGCCTACAGTCCCCTCTTCTCTTGCCTTCTTGAGAAACTTAATCATCTTCATTGCTTGGTTTTTGAAAGGAGTTGAACATTTTCACAGTTGAAGGGTTACAATCAGGTGAATGCTGTTGACAAAATAGGCTTTCACATGATTCCAGTCGTGTGATGACCTGCTTACAATCACTTCTCTTTTTTTTTTAGCAACTTTGTTAACCATTTACCGCGTTCATTCCAGAGTGTTCTCTGTCCCTCTTGGTGGAGGGAAGCAGTGAGGTAGAGATTGCTCTGTTTCTTTTGCATCTTCGGTGATTTAGATCCTTTTCTCCCCCTCAGATTGTCTCTGGTCAAAACGTGTGTCCGAGCAGTGGCACGGGGAGCCCGTGTATCGAAGTCGACGTGCTGGGCATGCCCCTAGACAGCTGCCACTTCCGCACAAAGCCCATCCACCGGAACACTCTGAACCCCATGTGGAATGAACAGTTTCTCTTCCGGGTTCACTTTGAAGACCTCATATTTCTTCGTTTTGCAGTTGTGGAAAACAACAGCTCAGCCGTAACTGCTCAGAGAATCATCCCACTCAAGGCTTTAAAACGAGGTAGAATAAAATTGTCAAAATGCTGATCATTATTGTAGCTAAGTGATGGATTCCCCGGAGTTCATGATGCTCTTCCTTCGACTCGTGTGGGTTTAAAATTTCCATAGCACGAAGTTAAAATAAGAGGCACAAAGAAATAATACAGATTTGAACATTGTTGACGAACATCTCAAAAGAGAATTTTCTTTTACATTATCCTAAAATCGGAGGTGTTGACAACATCCCCTAAGAGTGCGGCCTCTGCTTCTGCTTGTGTGGGGAGGCATGTTTGTGCTCCCGCACGCACCTTCCCAGGAGCACCCACCGCACCCTGGCGGGTTTAGAGCACGGACTGACGTTAGGAGAGGAGCCCCAGGGGCACCTGGTAGCTCAGTCGGTAGAGCAGGGGACTCTTGTTCTGGGGGTCCTGAGTTCAAGCCCTACGTTGGGTCTAGAGCTTACTTTAAAAAAATTTAAAAATTAAAAAAAAAAAGGCTGAGAGGAGGCGGGCTGAGGCATGCTCGTGGCATCAGCAGGCCGTGGTGGGAGTAGGCCCCAGCCACGCCCAGGGTCAGGAGCTGGACTGGGTGTGGGGGGCAGAGCAGGGGCAGATGGAGAATGCTAAGCCAAGGCCGGAGCTGTTGGCCTGAGGTGGTTCAGCCTAGCTGCGCTCTCCTGCAGCTTCTGCTTGCGGCCCCCGTTGGCCTAGCTGTGTCTGCTCCTCAAACTTTGATGTGTATCAGAGTTTCCTGGGACTCTTGGTAATAAAATGCGGATTCTGACTCAGTAGGTCTGGGGTGGGGCGTGAGATTCTGCATTGCTAACAAGCTCCCAGGGATGCTGAACTGCAGGTCTGCTCTGAGTACCAAGGTTCTAGTACTTCTTCCCACAACCACAAACTGCCACAAGCATGTGATGGGCTTCTACAGTTTGTTCTTTCCCTGTTTTTCTTCCCCACCATGCAGGCAGCCCATGGTCACTGCCTTAGTCAGCTCAGGCCGCTATAACAGAACACCACAGACTGGGAGCTTAGATAGCAGACATGTCTTTCCTCACAGTTCTGCAGATCAGCATGTTGGCGGGATTGGTTTCTCCCAAGGCCTCTCTCCCTGGCTTGCAGACGACCACCTTCTTGCTGTGTCCTCATATGGTTGTCCCCCCGTCTGTGTGCATGGCTCCAGGTGTCTCTCTCGGTCTTTGTGCTAATCTCTTCTTATAAGGACACCAATTATACTGGTTTAGGGCTCACCCTAATGACCCATTTTAACTTCCTTAAAGGCCCTAACCCTCTTTAAAAGCCCTACCTCCAGATAATAGTCACATTCTCAGATCCTAGGAGTTAGAGCTTCAACATAAGAATTTGGGGAGGACACAATTCAGTTCATAAGAGTTATTACAGAAATATGAGAAAGTACAGAGAAGCAAAAACAATTCTTTTTAACCATCCATTTCCCATCCAAAACCATCACTTTTGGTGTATTTCTTTTGCAGGCTTTGTTTTTCTGCCCATGTATTTACATACTATACGTAATATGCATACATATACATATTACATAATGTATATTTTTAACAAATAGGCTTCCTACTAATCTTAGTCCTTTGCACCTTACTGGTTTTCACTTCCTGATGTACGTAGGGAGCAACTTCTCATGTTGATAGCCATGCATCTTCATCACCACTTTTACTGGCTGCTTGTTACTCCATTTTATACAGACATTCACACCATAACTTACTTAGCCAACCCTCTATTGTAGGAATATTATCACTAAAACTGTTCTAAGAGGGAATATTTGTAAAACAGTGACTGTAGATGACTTGATACAGAGATGGTCAAGTTTTCCTAGTATATTTTGTTTGAGTTTAGGATTTCCGGTTTGAGTCTATGTTAGAAACAGTACCTAGACAAGTTGGTTGCCACTGGGTGATCCAGAACTGTCCCCAGGGGCAGCAGTCTGCCGATGAAAAGGCATCTCCTGGCTGCCACTCCCCACCAGTCGCAAGGCCTGATTTCCCCCGACCGTTGACTGCCCTCCCTGGGGTGTCTTCTGTGCAGAGCTCTGGGGTGCGTGGCTAACAGGTTTCTCCCAATTCTGCATTATTCCAGGATATCGGCATCTTCAGCTACGAAACCTCCACAATGAAGTCTTGGAAATCTCTAGTTTATTCATAAACAGCAGAAGGATGGAAGAAAATTCCTCCAGCAGTGCCGTGCCAGCCTCTTTGGTAATGAAGTTCTGTTTCACTGAGCACGTTTGCAAGCATTGCTACGCTGGGGGTAGGCTTTCTTGTGGCACAGGATCCTGGCCCATCAGAGTTATTAATTAGGTAGCAGTGGGAGTGATAGTCACAATAATGTCTGGCCCTTGACACTTTCTAAGCACTTTACATCTGTCCCGACTCAGTTAATCCTCTCAATAACTTCGTGAAATCGCTATTGATCCCCACTCCATAGAAGAGGAAGGTCAGAGCTAAGTTAAGTATACCTGAGGTCGCACAGCGATAAATCCAAGTTATTCTAGTGACAAAGCCCATGTTCTTCATGAGTACATGATAGTGCCTGCCGGGGGGGTGAACCCAAAATAACGACGTGGGGAAAGGACTAAGCAAGGCAAGCGTGGGGAGATGCAGAATCGGCCCTCTTGGAAATGAGACAGGAACACCACAGAAAGGGCCACCATTGCAGAGTCTCTGTTTTAACAAGCTCCCCATGTAAGTTCCATGCCCACTGAAGTTCGAGAACCACGGGACCAGCACTCACCCCAGTAATGCAGAGTTGTTTACTTAAGTAGCACTGCTTTAATTAACCGGTTGATTCCATTATCTTGCCCTTTAAAGCTGAATCTTAAAGGGTGCCCATTGATTACCTCTTTATATGCTTAATCGTCTGATACAATGGTGGTTGCATCAATCTTATCCTTCAACATAGTGCTAACAGCCCGTGGAAAGGCGCCGTGTATGCTCACAAATGGCGCTGGTTGGGCACTGCCATGGCCGCCTGTAAATCCCCCAGCTTTCTTCTCTGCTCCTCTCCCCCTCACCTCGTCAGTGTCTTCTCTCTCTGTCCTGACTTCATTTCCTTAGGTTCTCCTCCCTTTCCCTTTAGTGTGTAGCCAG